TTTTTGCTATTGCCAACAACAATGTTGTTTCGCTGCTTGTACATCTCTGCACACCTGTGCACATATATATCTTTAAGTAAGTCTCTAGATGTGAAACTGATGGGTCAAAGGGTCAGTGCACGACAAAAATGGAGAGAGAATATCAGATGCTTTCCCCCGAAGTGGCGCCAACCCCCACGCCTACTGGCAGTGCACGGGGATGCCTGCTTTCCTGTACCCTTGCCACCACGGGGCATCAGCAAACTTTTTAATTTTGCTCATTAGTAGTTAAAAAACAGCACCTCCTTGGTTAAATTTCATTTCTTAAATAAGTGAGGCTGAGGATTATTTTTGTTAGGTTATTGGCCACTTGTATTTCCTCTCCTGTAAAGTGCCTGTTCCTGTCTTTTGTCCACATTTCTATTGAGTTGTCTTTTTCATCTCGATTTTATAAGAATTCTCTCTATATTTTCCCCTCTTTGACATTTTTTAACTTTATGATATGTTGTCACAGAGAAGTTTTTCATTTTTATGCTGTCAAATTTATCAATCTTCCTTTCTCTTTTATCTCCTCTGTTTCTCAATCTATACCCATCTACACACATTCAGAGGAAAGTGCTCAACAAGTGTCAACACTGGCTACTTCTGGTACAGGAGGCCTGGGATGACTTGTAACCCATTTCTTTGTGCTTTTCTATATGGCTTGATTTTTTTTTTTAATAAAGATCATTATGATTTTTATAAAAAAGAGTTGTTATTAAAAAGAAACAGTATGGCATCTGGACTTATGTCATTCATATGTTAGAAAACGTTGATAATGCATAAAATCATAATTGCATTCTGCAACTTTTCTAATTTTAAACCAAAAAGGCTAGTATTGTCAGAGATTTGGTACTTGTCTAATTATTGCAGGTTATAGCAAATACACAGTAGTTAACGAGCACCTATTAGAAGTGCTACCATTTGCTGAGGAATCTGAATCTGCCAGGAGCCGGGTGTGAGCACCTATCAGCCATCACTCAGGCCTGACCAAGAGCAGGAACCTGAAGGCAGATTTTCTGACCTCAAAGTTGGAAGAGTAACTGATAAATTATTTCATTATACTTTGCAAATTAAACTTCTCTAAATTTGGGAACTACTGAGTGGCAGAGCCGTCTTGAAAACTGAAAAGACAGATATACCATCCAAGTGTCAGAGATGTGAAAAAGCTATCCACGCTAGTGCGGGGTTAATTTATACCCCTGGAAAACACACACCACAAACATGCTCTCACTCACATAAATGAAACCCTGTGGTTTTTCTTTTGGATAGGAAAACAAGGTTCTATTGCCAAAATCTGCCATGAGGAGTTTCAGAAATGATCACATTTGCACAGTTTTCCCACGGTCCCCTGCTGCAGAGAGCCGAATGGGGCCAAGGACAGCTCTGTCATCAGTCCCTGAGATTGCCACCTTCCCTGGGTGGTGGCTCTGTAGGGCTTGCTTTATTTTTCTCCATTTTAATGGATTATTTCCTAAAATACTTTTCTACATTCTACAGAAAATAAAAGGTCTTTTCTCTCTGGGTGTTTCTCTCACTCCAAAGGAATGAAAAGTGAAAAACAAGAGAGGAAATAACAAAGCCCCTTTTCTTTGTGTGCACATAATAAATGGCTTTTAGGCATGGGTTCCCTTGGAGAGCTGAGGCCACACAGTACCTTTCTGTATCTTAGGTAAAGAAAGAAAAGGGGAGCCTTGATAAATGTTTAATAATTACTGTTAATAAATAAAAGTAGCTTACACTGGCAACATGCCTAATGGTTCATAGAGTACTTTCCATTTTGAACCTTTGAGCAGTTCTGTGAAGTAGACGGGGTCTTTTGTAGGGTTTTTTTTTTTTCTTCTTTGAGAGGTTAAATGACTTGTATCACAAACAGATGGTAAACAGAAGAATCTGGACTCCAACTCAGATTTTCTGATTTCAAATACAATGCTATTTTGAGTATACCAAGCTATCTCTTTAATAATGATCAGGAAGTATTTGTTTAAACACTCTCTAATTCTTATTAACCTCAAGAATAAACAAACAATAAAAATCCCATATAGAACTTTATAATTCACTCATTTACAAAAATGAGTGAATTCCTCCATAACCCAAATACAGAGAAATCCTTCTAACTTAGATTCAAAATCCAAATGTGATGGAAGGAAAGCTGAAAATTTGAAAGCATTAAGAAAACTTTTGCATGGCAAAAAAACATGAATCCACAAAAAAATATTAGAGCTAATAAATGAGTTCGGCAAGGTTGCAGCATACAAGCTAAACATACCGTTTGTATTTCTACACACTAGCAATGAACAATAGGAAAAGGAAATTAAGAAAACACTTCCATTTGTAGTAGCATCAAAGAGAACAAAATACTTAGGAATAAATCTACCAAAAGAAGTGCAAAACTTATACTACAAAACGTGGTTGAAAGAAATTAAGGAAGACCTAAAGAAATAGAGATATCTCATCCCATGTTCACGTTTTGAAAGGCTTAATATTAAGATGTCAATACTTCCCAATTGAAATACAGATTCGAGTACTCCCTGTCAAAATCTCAGCTGGTTTTTTTTTCCAGAAATTGATAAGCTTATCCTAAAATTCATATGAAAATGCAAGGGACCCAGAATAGCCAAAAAAATCTTGAAAAAGAATAACAAAGTTGGAGATGTCACACTTATGATTTCAAAACTTACTTCAAAACTTGTACATAAGTATTCATAGCAGCATAATTCATAATATCCATTAACTTAATGCAAAACAACAGTAATTGAGACAGTGTGATACTGACATAAGGATAGACATATAGATCTATGGAATAGAGTTGAGAATCCAGAAATAAACCCTTACATTTATGGTCAATTGATTTTGACGCAGATATCAAGATAACTGTGTTGAAAAGATAGTCCTTTTAATAAATAGTGCTGGGACAACTGAATATCCACATGCAAAAGAATGAAGTTGGACCTCTACCTCACATCATACAAAAAAAATTAACTCAAAATGGATCAAACACCTAAATATAAGAACTAAAACTATAAAATGCTTAGAAGGAAACATAGATACAAGCCTTCACGAACTTGGATTAGGCAATGGTTTCTTAGATGTGATGCCAAGAGCACAAGCAACAAAAGAAAAAAGGATAAACTGGACTTCATCACAATTAAAAACTCTTGTGCTTCAAACAACACTATCAAGAAAGTGAGAAAAACCCACGTAATGAGAGAAAATGTTTACAAATCATGTATCCGATAAGGGTCTAGTATCTAGTATCCAATATAAAGAACCCTTATAAGTCAACAATAAAAAGACAAATAACCCTATTAAAAAATAGGCAAAGGATTTGAATGCTAGCCACCCAATTGTTGTTTCCATTTGTATGCCGCCTCATGGGCATCTCAGACTCACCATCCAAACCTGAGCTCACCACCTCTCTATCACCCATTCACACTTGCTCCCCCACTGTCAATGGCACAAACGTCCACTCAGTTGTTCAGACCAGAAACCCAGGAGTCATCTTTGACTCTTCTCCTTCCCTCTGTTTCCCACATCCAATCAATCTCCACATCTCATCAATTCTGCCTCCTAAACCTTTGTCAAACTCATCTACTTCCCTTTACTCTTTTACTATCATCATCCCAGTTCAAGCCACCATCTTCTTAGGACTTTGTTACTTCAATAGCCTCCTAACTGGTCTCTCTACTTCCACTCTTGGCACATCTCCCAAAATCCGTTCTCTATATGTCAGCCAGAATAATCTTTCTAAGAATACTGGGTTTGACTTTGGGCTATGCCATTTATTGGCTGTGTACTCCTGGGCATATCACTCAACCTTTCTAATTCTTGACTTCTTCATATATAAACTGGAAATAATAATAAGTCACAGAGTGGTAATAATGATTAAGAGAGATAATCCAGACAAAGTGAGAGAATAGGACACTCTAATAAATTGTAGATGAGAGTATAAATGGTCAGACAAATTTGAAAAGAAATAGCAATAAAGTACTCTCAGTACCATGTTATTATCTCTCATTTGAAATAATAGGAATGAGTTAGTCTATATTTTACAACTTCAACAAGGAAAAATTCTGAGAAAACGATTTAAAAGATGCTTTTAGCAGATCATTTGATACAAAAACATCAAACTCACTGGGATGGTTAATTTTGTTTGTCAACTTGGCTAAGCTATATAATGTCCAGTTGTTAGGTCAAATACTAGTCTAGACGTTGCTGAGAATGTATTTTGTAGACGTAATTAACATTTACAATCAGTAGACTTTGAATAAAAGAGATTACCCTCCATAAGATGAGCGGGCCTCATCTAATCAGTTGAAGGTCTAAAGAACAAAAAGCTGAGGTTTCTCGAAAAGAAGGAATTCTGTCTCAAGACTGTAACAGAGATCCTGCCTGAGTTTTTAGGTGGCCCACTTACCCTCTACGGATTTTGGACTTTTCAGCCCCCACAATCATGGGAACCAATTCCTTAGAATAAATTTCTCTCTCTATATATGTATATATCCTATTGGTTCTGTCTCTCTGGAGAACCCTGACTGACACACTCACAGAGGAATCTTAAAGTAGAACAGCAGCTAACACATGACGACTCTAAGTGGCTTCAGGTACAGATTTTAGAGTGTAGTAGAAAAGAACCCTGATCAGTTTGATGATATAAGCTCTAAATTGATGAAATACTAAAGGATAAAGACACTTTATCTGGGAAATAAGACTTAAATTATGCACCTAATATGAGAAAAGCCACGTTCTAGGGAGTCTCAGGTTGTTTGTGGAATGTGCACCTGGCAACAGAGGACTAGTATCTGATACTCACCCACTTGACCCTCTATATGAAGATATTTGTTGAACGTCTACTCCAGGCTAAGAGTTCTACTTATCTATAGCAAATAACACAGCCAGGCATTCTGAGCTGCTACTCCACTTGTGTCTATGAAAAGCATCGGGTCTAGAACAGCTTTAGTGGCCAGTATGTTGCAGCTTACCTGTAAAAAATGGTCGATGGATGCGTTGTGAAATCCCAGGGTTTGTTCTACACCTGCTAATTCCCTCAATATTGGTACACACTCAAGACTTTGTTCACCTTTACTGGTCTCAATATATTCTAAAGCCTCTTGGTAGTGGGGCAGAGCTTCTTTTGATTTCTTCTGACCTTGATATAGCCTAAAAAAATCGAAGGGATTATTTTTAAAATAATTAAAATAGAAAATACAGAAGATAAAGGTGGGCTGGTGGTTAGGATTTGGCTGTCTGACCCCTGTTGTCCAGGTTTGCTTCCTCACCAACTAAGCTTTTCTTTCCGCCCAGAGGCAGCTGGGCATCGTGGTCAAGAGGATGGACTTTGGAATAACCAGGAAGGTTCAAATCTTGGCTCTACCACCTAACTAGATGTACAACTTTCAAGTTGCTTAACAATTCCCTCATCTGTAAGTTAAGAATAATAACAATGCCCACTACATTGGGTTATTATGAAATTTAAATTAGTTAATATTCGTAAAAACACTTAGAACAGTCTCTGACACCTAGTAAATGCTATGCAGTCGCTGGTTTAAACATATATAAATATTCAACAAAAACAACAATAATCATCATAAAGGATGCCGAGATGATGATAACTAATCTGTTGAGAAATTATAGAAATTTCACAGCATTGGTGAGGGTGTGAAGCACTCTCCTTAACTGTTGGGGAGAATATAATTTGGGCATAAATTTTTCTATATTAACATTATACATATATATGTACACACACATATTTCTGCTAATTGCACTTCTAGTAGTTTATATTGAAGAGATACTCTGGCAGGACAAGAATATATAAGAATGTCTACCTAAGTATTTGTTGTAATAGTGGAAAAGTACAAAGAACTTAAAATACACCAATAGGCGATCATCTAAGTAGGTTACAGTAAGTACATCTATACTGTGGAATGTCAAGTAACCATTAAAGTTAATGTTAATCCGTATTTATCAACATAGAAGTATACCGACTACATATTCTTCAGTAAAAAAAGGCAGATTACAAAAATACTTTGTGTAATATCTCATGCATGTGAAAAATTTATATCTAATCTATATGTACACATATGCATAAAGAAATACTAAAGAATGGTCACTAAAATGTTAGCAATAGTTATCTCTAAGGAATTGGTTGTGATTTTACTTTTCTCGCTTATGCTTCTCAAATTTCCTAAATTTTCTTCTATAAAACTATTATTACTTTTACATTAGAAAAATGTTAATTTAAAAATTATAAGTAAAGGTGGCAGTGGGAAAATATTCTTGTAGCTTCTTGGGATAAGACTTTCTCGTATACAAAATGTATCCCTCTATATTGTTCAGCAAACACAATAACAGACATTTAAAAACAATCTTCCCCAAAATATTTGCCAAGACTACTAAAAACTTTTTTTTTTGCATGGAAAAATTTTATGTACAAAATTCATAATGGAAGATATCAACTCTTCCTATGCTGCCCTCTGCCCCAGAATCTTTACTACAAAAAGGCTTTACAATTTCCAAATTGCCTATGGGCAAACTGAGATGTAACTTGAGAAAGTGACTAAGAGACCACAAAAAACAGGTATTGTTTTCAACTCAATCATTGGATATTTTTCACAACTATCTTTGCTCTCCAATACATTTCAAGGGAATTGACTGATACAAGTAAAGATACTTTGCAGATCTGTGGTTCAAATGGCCATAATGAAATAAAATGCTCGCTGAATATTTTGTGAACTGGGATATCTTCTACAATTGTAAAGAGGTTTAAAACACAGGAAGAGGTCAGGGATATGTTCCTGGACCAGATTGCAGCTTGCAGCAACTCTAATCTTGGAAAGGAAGAGATTAATATGTGACCTGATAATACTGGACTTGCCTTCTGACTCTTAATGAGCTTAGAATATAGTGGAGTAATAATTAGTGTTGTAAGCATCATATTTTATTTTTGAAGAGAAAACCCACTAGCATCTTTAGTGATAAAAAGAGGCTTTGAAACATATGGTTGGTAACAAATCACTTAGCTAAAGAATTAGATTCCTGGTAGACAAAGATTAAATAATTGAAAATAGGAGTCAGCCAACTATGGCTTGTGGGCCAAATCTACTCATTGTCTGCTTTTGTAAATAAAGTTTTATTGGCACACAGCCACACCCACTTGTTTACTTATTGTCTACAGCTGCTTTTGCACTACAATAGCAGAGTTGAGTAGCTGCAACAAACACCATATGGCCTACAAAGCTTAAAATATTTACTGTCTGGGCCGTTACAAAAAAAGTTTGCCAGCCTCTGGTCTAGAATCTAGAGAAAGTCACATACTTTCCAAATGATTCCAGACTTTTTTCCACCTAATTTAGCCTAGGGAACTCAGACAATGCTGTACATATTTGAGCAAAGGAAAAAAAATATTCATCTGCTTCCTTTCTTATGTTTTTAAATGATGAAGAGTGTGCCAAAGAAACAAAGAATAGGTCCTTTGTTTCCAAGGCTGCTTGTAAAAGTCAGAAGAATAGTAAAGCAAATATAAATGCCAAGATGATTTCATTTACACAACAGCTTTCAAAGCTTAGTAACCAAGCTAATAAGGGAGAAAAAACAGAAAAGTAAACAATAACAAGGCATAAGTTAATTCGTATATCAACTATTCTTCCTTTTCCAAGATAGAACCCTAAAGAAAAGTATTTGGGGATTTGTAGTGGTGGAAACCAGGGACAACTTGCAGCCATCTACTATCTATCTTAGCCAAAAGCACAGCATATCTCTCCAAGTTAACACCACGGCACCTTTTCAGGTATCAAAAAGTCATCCTTCAAATACCCGACTTTCAGAGAAAATTTTATAGAAAAGAATACAGGATGAGAGGCAGGGCGATCAGTTACAAGTATGGCAGCAGGAGTAGAAAACCCAAACTGTATTTTGAGCATCCTTACTTCCCAGGCTGCACAACCTTGGGCAAGAACAAAACCTCTCCGAACTTTGGTTTCTTCATCTGAACACTGGTGTCCAACAGGGTTGTTGTGAGAATCAAGTAACATGCCTGAAAGTGCTCTGCAAATGGAAGCAAGCCATACAGACTGGATTAAATGCCTACACATAATCGTACCTCTCCCTCCTTCCCCTCCCAACCTGCAGTCTCAATGGAACTGAGTGGTACAGCCTCAGGTTGTTCTCATGTTGAAATGGGCTCATTTGTGGTCTCAGCTTCCTCCCACTCAGCCACATAAGATTTTGGAAAGTCTAAATAATAGGCAGAATCAGTTAAACTTGTGTGCAAGTGAAATAGGCATTTTCTTATCCAACTGAGCTCTTAAAAAAATTGAGAATAATTTATTATAAGAACAATATATACTCATCATTAAAAGTAAGAAAAGATATAGGAAAATAAAAATAAAAAATATATAATCACAATATCCAAAGATGAGTCCTGTATACCCTGATAGTTGATTTTCTACGCATAGTTTTTTTTTTTTTTTTTTTTAA